CACCTCATTAACATACGCTTTACATGCATTTGCACACCCCGCGCCCATCGCTCACTCCACGTGACGCGCGGGGATCCCCGCAGCGGGCGGGGCACCCCCTCCCATACCCCCCTCCGCCCCCGGCCTCCCCAGCCGAGCTGTGATTGGCCGCGCTCGCTGTCACTCATCTGTGGGCGTGCCCCACCCGCTCACCGCCCCTTTACGGGAGGCCACGCCCCCAGCGCAGCTCTCCCCGCCCACCTCCACTCCCCCTCCCCGGGGCCGTTGCCCGGCAACGCGGGGGGCGGTAACAATGGAGCGGGGCGAAGGGGCGGGGCGAGTGAGCGGGGCGAGACTTCCAGCGCTTCCCGGGCAGGCTTCGGATTCGGGGTAGAACGGCTTTATTTAACTTGCAAATTTAGGGGGTTTTTGGTGGGGGTTTTTGTTTTAATTTTAAGCTAGCCCTACCCCCCCGCGCTGCTGCTCCTCACCCAGGGTTTCGGCCGTGGTTCTAAGCCCCCCCTCGTCTGCCAAAGCCCGGCCTAACCCCGCGGCTCCCGTCCATCCGCTCCACGGAGGATTCCAAAATCCCGTGGGTATCTCCCGGTGCTTCCCCAGGGATATTCCCGCTCCGCACCTGCGTCACCGCCGAGTCCCTTCCAGACGTTCTGGGTGCTCAGGGGAACCTTTCCCCTCTATCCGCTGTGCCGTACGGATGTTTTTTCCCCGCTGTGGGTTTTTTCGTCCGTTCTCGTCCCGGGTTCCTGGCCTCTCCCAAGAGGCGGCTGCGGGATGGGTGAATCCCGGTCGCAGGGCAGGGCCGGATCCTGGCCTATGAGCTGGGAACGGTCAATTTGGGCTGGGAATGGCGGTCCTGTTCTGCCACAGGGCTTGGGGGAAGAGGAGATGTGAGCCTCGGAGCATCTTCCCTCCATGCACCCATCCAAATTCCCTTCCTCAAATGTACCCGGTGTGCAAACCACAGCTAGGCACAAAATGCCGGAAAAAGGCACTAAAAAATTCCAATTTGTGGGATGCTAAATGGATATTTCCTCAAGGATCCCGTTTCCGCATCTGCTCCAGCCTTGCCTGGGTGTTTTCTGTCCTCACCGGAGGAGCGGCCGGAGTGGGAGGCCCATGGGTGGGAGACAACGGCCCCGCCGATGAGCCAGCTTTTTGGCAGAGATTTCAGGGAAACGGGAAGGAAGCAGGACGGTCGCACATTTCCCCTCCGCTGCCGCCTCCTTTCACATCCTCTGTTTCGGGAAGCGCAAGGGCTTCAGCTCGCTCAGAGGGTTAATTTTTAATTTTTTACTTTAATTTTTCCATCATTAACAGCAACTGTCTCCACCAGCCTTGGATTTGCTGATCACACGAGTCCCCAGGCCGCTCCGCCGGCGATGGACCCTCACCCGTGTCCCCGTCCCCAGCTCCGCTCTCTGCCACGTGCCCTCATGAGGACAAAGGGGGGGAAAAAAATCAGCTTTTTGGGGTTGTCACGTGTGAAGTCGCGGAGGAGGGGACTTTCCCATTCACTTCTTCCACCGAGAAATGAAACCGCTCTTGCCTGCAGCCCCGGGTACGTTGGCTCTCCAGGTGGGATGCTGTGTTTCACTTCCAACCTGGCACTGATTTCCCTCTCCCAACACTCTCCGCCTCTTTATTTTTCTATTTCTGATTAAAACTCCCCGGGATTGCCTCAGTCTCCGCCGCCGTGAGAGGGAGCACTCAGCCCTGCTGAGGCCGAAGTGGCTCCCTGGGGTGTAGGGCTGATGTTGGATGGGATTTCCCTGAACTGGGCTGTCAGCATCTCAGAGTCATCGCTTCCCGGGACCCCGGCCAGCCGCCAGCTCTGGATACTGGCATGATGTATTTTTGAGCTCCTTCAGCCGGGTTTTGGCCACAGGTACAGGGAGAGCCTGCCCGAAAACACAGCAGGCAGCAAACCCGCACTCCCACCTCCAAGTCTCTGCCTGCAGCTGCCTCAAATCACCTATTTATTTGCTCATTAGTTAATCTGGGGAGGGGGTAAGACACCCCCTTGGGTAGGGCAGCCTGACCTCCAGCTCTTTCTCATCCTTAATTTGGTGGCCTCCTCCTGCGGAGCCAGCTGTGCTGCTAGCGGGATGCGGCGCCGAGGAGCCGGCTGGGGTGCCGGAGCCATGCCGGGCTAGCCTAGTTGGCCGTCCCACTCCCAGGCTGTCTGGGAAGGGGGATAAACACAAGGCCATCGTGTTTCCAGGGGTTTTCTTCCATGGCTGGAGTCCAGCTCGGCCTCCTGCTGTTGGCCAAGTCCTGCAGCGCCGGGGACGGCACCTCCGGACCAGTTTATACCCAACTCGCGTGGGAGATGCTCCAGCACTCGTGACAACCAAGAGCTCCATAATGCCGTCTCCGGGAAGAGACGGTGAGGTGCTGGGGGTCGAATTGCTCCGCAGGTTTGCTCTCCGGTTTTGATGTCTCATTTTTTCTCTGTGGCAGCTCTGAGTGGACGGTTCAGCAAAAGCTGAGGGAATCCTTCGCTGTCCCACGGCTCCTGGTCAACGGGCTCGCCGCCTTCCTGATCGAGCTGGTTCACTTCCTCGGTGAGACCATGGTCCAGGTGAGCTGCACCGGTTTCCCTGCCACTGAGAGGAGATGCGGTACGAGCAGTCAGGATCTACAACCTCTAATGGAGAATTTTCCATCTGATTTTTTTTTTTTTTAATGTCTGTTGATTACTTTTTTTGATGCCTGTTTGCCTTGAAGAGCTCTGGGCTGTTAAAGCTCAGTCCCGTCTCAGTGGTGAATGTGTTTGTGGGGAGAAATGGGAGTGTTCAATACTTAACCCAGAAGATCTGCTCTCCAAAAACTGTGATTACACCCCAAATACACCACCAGGAACCATTCTGCCACCGATATGCCTGGTCTGGGGTCACTGGAAAGGGACAAGGCAAAAGGAGAGATAATTGTAGGAGGTGATGAGACGTGCTGACAACCCTGAGCATAAACTTCTGCTTCCTTTCCTCTGAGTATTTCCATGTCAAAACACTTCAGTATTGGGAGGAGAAACTTTGGATTCTTCACTATCTCAGACTCCTCCTCCCATAGTGAAATTTTTGCATCTCGGCCACGTTTTTGGCATCTCTACGAGAAGTGGGGAGTTCCTTCTGAGTAACTTGCTCTTTACAGGGTCCCCACCACACCTCAGGATGGCATGCGCTGGTGAATATTCATCAAAAACAAGCATTTTAACCCAAATTTGCCTTCCCCTCCAGGTGCTGGTGGTCGGTTTGCTGACAGCCATCAGCAATCATATTTTGAAGCCCTTCTTGGCAGCAACGTTCAACAGCCTCCTGCAACCTCTGCTGCTGTTCCTGTTGAAGGTCCTCTGCGGCATCCGGGACCTGACGGACCCCCTCATCGACGTCCTGGCCGCCATCTGCTCACAGCTCGCTGTGGTGCTGCGGGCTGTCAGATTAGTGGAGATCAACCTACAGCCAGACAGGACGGATCTCGGTGATGTTGGCAGCAGCTGAGGCTGGGCCTTGGGAGGCAAAGGAAGAAGGGGAGGAGGAAAATGCTTATTTCTGCAAAGAGCAATGCAAATTGAGGAAGAGCGGGGCTGTCTGCAGCATGGGGAGGCAGGCACCAAGAAGGTGAGGAGAACAGTGTAGCCGCATGTTTCTGTGCGGGTGGCAGGTACACGGTGCCAATGGGATTGGGTTTGTATGTTCTATTTTTGCAAACATCTCCTTAACCAACCCATTAAATGACAATTTTGTATCTTGGACTGTGTCCCTAGCAAGGTGGTGTTCCTATTCCTGCCTGGAAGACTTGGCTTTCTGCTAGGAAGGACTTCCCTGTGCAGTCTCTTGCAGTGGGCCAGCCGGGCTCCTCTGGTGGGCTCTGCTGCCAATTTCAGAGGTGGTTTGGTGTTAGGAGCCTGATTTCCTCAGCCCCTGCCAGGAGGCAACAACTTCTCTCCGGAGAACCGAGCAGCTCCCAGGCACCCTCGCTTTGACTGGAGCAGCCCTCTGTAGCTAGTGGTGTGGGATAGCCAGGAATTTGGGGACTGTCTGAAAAATATGTGAATGCCACCCCTTCCATGTTCCTAAAAAATAAGTCTGGTACACATTTCAGGTAGTAAGAACAGATTCCTGTAGTGACCAGGAGGCCAGAGGAGCAGAATCGCAGGCAGTGAAGCTTCAAGTGTGTTTTGCAAAACCTTTGAGGGGATCAGGACTGGGACTAAGCCATGTTTTGGGGCTCACGCCTGTGCCCCAGATGCCAGCTCCCCTCTCCAAGGGCATATCGTCCTGGGAACATTTCCCACTGCTTGCATGCACTGCGAGATCCCTCAGGCCTTGATGATTCCACACTGAAAGCCCTTTGCTTTTTATGGGCAGAGAGCAGCTTGTTTTTAACTTCCTGGCCTGTAAGATCATCCAAAGGATTGAGCCGGCTAGCTGTGATTTAATGAATGAGCTCTGCAACGAGGCGTTGCAAGGGGTCCCCCGCGGTGGCCGTGCCTGTCAGCGGGTGCTCGCTACCCCTGACTCGCTGTGCTATTTGGGTGCTGCTGAGTTCATGGAGTTGCAGTGGTAACAGGATGTTCCCCTTTGGCGGTGCAAAGGGACAAGCTGGAAGCCACCAAGGCAAAGAAGAGCTCTCCAGGGTCAGATGACCAAGGGCAGCATGTGATTGAAAGCCGGAGATGAGCCGAAACCTTCCGGGCAGCAGGAAATGTGCCGGTTTTCCAGGAGAGGGAGACCAGACCAACTTTGCCCTTGCTCCTCAGCTAAGAGCACCAGAGCCAGAGGTTAGAAGAGCCACACAGACATGAGGAGGACCTGGCCTCGTGGACTGGGTCCAGGATGTCCTGCAGCAACGTCACCGGTGCCAGGACTGTGCCTGGATGGCCACACAGGGGGTCTGAGAGCCCCCACGGGACACCTGGGGGACACATGGTTGTCCTCGGGGTATTTTGATCCACACAAGGCGCTTGCATCGGGGCGCAGGCATGTCCTGGCGACTGTTCCCTGATAACAGACCTTCCTGCAAGGGAACGATTAAAATGAACAAACACAAACCATGATTAAGAGGATGGAATTAATTTGAGGTTTCTTGCTTTGTTGATTTAGCTCAAGATTCACTTTAATGATTTAAATGGCTTTAATTAAATCAATCTGCTCCGGGAACAAGAATTCCCCATTTCATTTTTCTTTTTTTGGCTAAAGCTCTCTGAAGTAGCAGAGATCCAAGAGACAGAGTTGGGAAAATTCAACACCCAGGAGTGAGAAGAGGCAGCTTGCATCATGCTCGAACAGCATCAGAACAGCATCTCACCCCAGGCAGGGACCCTCCATCCCGTGCCGGGAGAGGACATGTCTGCCATCCTGCTGGAGCCCTGGCTCCCAGCAGGCACCCCTGGAGCTGGGTGATGGGTGCAGAGCTGCCATCTTCCTCCTGCAGCCCCCCGCCTCGCTGCGGGACAGGAGATTTGTAAGATGTGCAGGTGCTGTGGACGGTGTAACAGCTGGTTGGATTTTGTCTTGCAAATTAGACATGACCATGTCCTGGCAGCAGCAGTTCAAAGAGACCAAGGTGCAGAAAGTCACTGATTTTTTGGAGTTTCAGGGCCTAAAGGTGAATAGGAGCTCAGGGCTACTGGCCATGCATGTCTCCTTGGTACTGCTCTGCTCATCAAGAGCAGAAAACTCTTTTCTTCCTTAAAAAACAAGCAAACAAAACCCAGTCCAAACTATATGCATTTAATGCATCCGGTCTGTGCCTTGCCTCCACTGCTGCCGCAGGCAGCCCCAGACACCGGCAGGGGTGGGCAGCCCGAGCTGCTCTGAGGGGGCTGTGCCCCTCCGGCACACACCCACCTCCCCTGGGAGCATGTGTGTGCCCAGGATGGGGTCTCAATGCAGCCGTCCCGTTCTCAGCTGCCTTCCATGTGCCCCCATGCCAGGCTGCCAGTGCCCCTTGGCACTAGCGGCAGTGCTGGGTTACAACACCGTGCTCAGACAAGGACATTTCTCCCCATCCACATTGGCCGGCGGTGGCAGTGCTCACGGGGCTTATGCTCACCAGCAGCCTGGGCTGGCAGCTCTCTCGCATTGCTGCTCCCTTAGATCACCGGCCCAAATGCCTTCCCTCCGGCTCATCTCTCCGCTCCGAGCGCTGTGGCTGAGCCCACAAAGACGGCTCAGCACACGGCACGGGAGGGCGGAGGAGCGGCAAGATGCTTCTCCTGGCTTGCAACTGATTTTCTTAGCCAGCCCCGTGGACCTCAAGGCAGGTGTTGTGCCTGCTGGATGGGGGCACAGCTCTGCCCAGCCCTTTCCACCATGATCCATGGGGGTTTTGCTGATGGCTGCCCCGGAGCGGCTGGGGAGGAGTGGGTGCAGGGCTGGGAGAGCAGCCAGCTGGGATGTGGAGGAATGCCAGGACGCTGAGCGCAGGGCCTCCTTCGGCTCCGCGCGGCCATCGCTTCCCTAAATAGACGGCTGCAGGGTGGGAGGATTAGCTGGGGGCATTCCTCTGCCCCCGGCCGCTGACCCCAGGACACGTTGCTCATCGCTATATTAAATCCTGCACACAACGGGTTGCTCTTCACAAGTCCTTCGTTACAGGTGTCGGGATTTCTGCTCCTCCCTCCACCCTGCACTTTCAAACACTGCTGGGATTTGCAGATGCTGAGTCAGTTTTGGTTTGTTCCACTCGGATTTTGCAGGGGAGGTTTGTGCTTTTCCCTTTTGACGCCTCCTGGCACTGCTCGTGGAGCACGAGGGTATTTATAGCCACCCAGCGAGGTTAAGAGCCACTGCCTAATGGTTCATGAACGTGCTGTGCCAGCCTGATGACGGGGCTGGTCAGTGCGCGGTTATATCCACGTGGTTTCACAGGAGGAGCCAAGGGCCTGGCTCTGGATTTAGGTTTTGTCAGACAGGCGTCATGGGAAGGAGGTCAGACCTGCCGTGTGGCTCTGCTCAGGACAGTGGCTGTAGGAACGAGGCTGTGTGGGAACCCACCAGGTTGTACCTCCGTTTGGGTACCAAAGAGGCCACAGCCTAGGGTCAGAACAAGGCACAGAAGCATTGAAATAAATCAGGAATGAGCTGTTGGAGTAAGTTCAGAAAGGCTCAGTGTTTTGGTTTCTTGACACCTGCCTCCCAT